CACCATGGGGCTCCTGCCCAAGCCCGGCGCGCGACAAGGCAGCGGCGCCTCCTCGGGCTCAGCCCGCCGCTGTCCCGGCTCTATCTTCAGCAACATTAAGGTGAGCGGAGAACCCAGGGCCGCCCGGGCCCGAGCCACGCCGGGTGCGTCTCTTTCGCGGAGCCCGGGAGGCTCTGGATGCGCCCGGGCTCCCTGCGCCGCCGAAGGTGCCGCACTCCGGGGCGCATCCCGCGGACCTGGCGCGGCGGGCGGGGGTACGCCTGGACGGGCGGACGCGTGCTGGGTGTGTGCGCGGTGTGTGCGCGTGGTGTGTGCGTGTGTGTGTGCGCGCGCGTGGTGTGTGTGTGTGTGTGTGTGTGTGTGTGTGTGCGTGCGCGCGCGCGCTCGCTCGCTCACACGCCCTCATCAGTGTAAGAAACAGGACAAGGAAAGGACCTGCTTATCGGGACAACTCTCTTCGGATAGTCCTGGCACTGGCTCAGGGAGTGTTCTGTTCTTTGGGGAAAAACAAACCGCAAACAAACAAACATCCCCCGGGCACTTTTTCGATCTCCTGCAGGCAGTTACTTCCTTAAAGAGGTGCGCTTGGAGGTCTCCGGGCCTCGCCTCCTGCAGGGGAAGGCTGTGGTCCCTCTGCCGTGGAGATGAAAGACCAACTCCTCTGTGGCGGGTGGCATAAGGGATGCTCTCCTGCCCCAGGCTTTCCTCCTCCCCAAGAGCAGCAGCGTGGAGGCTCTGCTGCCTCCCGCCTGAATGTTCAGGATTCCCCAGGCAGGGCTGTCAGTCCCCTGCACTGCGGCCAGCTTTCCAGGTCTGGATCTGGCCCCAGGACAGCAGCCGGTTCTCACCGTCTGTTAGGTCAGGGCTAGACAAGTTCTGGGGAGTGGGTGAGGAGGAGATGGGGTGGAGGCAGCTGCGTGGTGAGGACACTTTCTTCTCAGGGCGTCAGGAAGACTTCCCACTCCCTCGCATGTCTAGGAGGACCCGGAATGGTTGAAACCACACTCAGGCTTTTTTGCCCCTTCTGGCCAGTCAAGGCAACTGAGAATGCATTCCCTGAGGGGGCAAAGCTGGAGATGTGGGAGGCTGCAGAGCCCACATCCTGGGTCCTTGGGGTAAGGGTGGGGATTATGGTGCAGAGCAGTTGTTTCAGACAACCATACCATCACATGGGGCACGCTAAAGCCTCGAATGGTGCAACTAAGGGGAACCCAGATATACGTGTCCAACAGAAAAGGGTCTGGAGGTCACAGTGGATCTCATCTATACACTCATATTGTTGGCCATGGATCTGGATTCTCACTCCTGCTTCTGCTTCCTCCCCACACCACAATATATAAAGGCTGAGTTGATGCCACAGTTGAATATAAACAAGACACAGACATTTTGAGATAATTTAAGATAATCCTCAAATCTCCTCATTTTGGGCTAGACCTGGAAGAGAAAGAACACTGTGCAGTTTGGGTCCCACCACAGAAAAGAGTCTTGGAGAAGTTTCAACAGAGAATGGTGAAAATTTTTGTGTTTATAACTTAGGAGTTGGGAGGAAATGGTGGGGGAAATGGCTGGGTGGTCTGAAAAGAGGGTCTCAGGAGGGAGCCAGGGTGGGGGCAACTTCCGATACCTTCACCAAGAAGGGCAGGAAGGATGACAACCCAGAACAGATCTTTGGCAGTGAAGGTAACCCCAAATGAGACTGATCCACTTAGACCCTCCCCAAGTCCCTAAAATAAATGCTTGCATGGCCACAGTTTCTTTGAAGATCTGTAAAAATAAGACAATTTATCACGTGCTGATGATTGAGCCACACGTGCCTGAGACCGGGGCCCAGGCCAGTTGGCCTCTTAAAGTCTCATACCAGTTGAGAGTTTTTCTTAGCTCTAAAAACCAGATTTTCTTAATTATTGCCTCCGTTGATCCATAGTAATTCTTAGAGTTTGGCGAGACTTCCAGTTGGCTTCACGTGCCAGCCTGAAACCAGGTACAAAGTTGGATATCTCCAGGCAAATATGGGGTCTGAAATTTTATTAAACTTACTTCAGCCTTTTCTTCCAGGGGATGTTACTGGCCATCTGGGGGCTTTGCTATTTGATTGTAGATTTCCTCTTCGCGATGAGAGGTTGGGTGGCTGCCCTACACCCTCCTAGAGGGGTATGGACTGCACATGTCTTGTGATATGTGTGACATGGAGGGGGAACAGGAGACACCCAACTTGAGAACCCAGACTTTTTCTAGGTTCCTTGTTGCTGGGACAGATTAACCAGTTGACTTTATGACATTCCTGCAAAACCCCACATACCATATGGTTTAGAGAAGGGATGAAACCAGGGGACTCAGATCCAAGTCCTAGTCTATCCTTTTACTGACTAGGTGACACAGGGAAGCATTTCTCACCTGGCCTGGGCCTCAGAGTCCTTACATGAAAACACTGGGTAGTATGAACAATTCCTACCTCATGGGGCTCGGTAGGAGGATGTGGGATGAGACATAGGGGGAGGTTTTGTGAACCACGCTGGGCTCTCTGGGATTGGTATCAATGTGAGGCTAGTTCTTGCCTCAATGAACAGGACTGTGCATTCGAACATCATTCAGGACCTAGTGTTCCACTAATTATAGTTAACAATTAAGAAAAACTATGGTTAATAATAACAATGTCCAACATAAGAGTAGTGGCTAACAGTAATGGAGCTGTCTGAATATACCAGGAACTATGCAAGTATTCGACCCATACTTAATCTTCATTATAACACTCTCAAGTGGATACTATTACTGTCCCCATTAATAATGAGGAAAACTAGGCTTAGTGAGGCTGGTCCCTTGTGCGTGGAGGCAAAGCCAGAAAGTGGGGAATATAGAGGAACCAGGTATGAGACTGCAGAGTCGGAGACCCCAAGGGCTGTGCATCCTGGCCCTCACTGTCACACAGTGCTGCTCAATTCTGGGTGAGCAGGTGGGGATACCATGGGTGGACTTGTTCCCAGTGGTCAGGGCTTTCACCAGGCCCCGGTGGCCCACACGCTCCAGCTGTGACCAGAGGTTGCCGAGGCGGCTACAGCATGGTTGCCCCCAGTCCCCGACAGGCTCGTACCTCTCACTCTTCACAACTCTCATCTAAAGAGCCAGGAAACTCTCACTCTAGCGGTGAGGTTTTTTCTCCCTCCTTCTGCAGGAGCAAATACAATGGCATTTAATCTAGAGACAGTCCCTATTGCTTCTGGCTTACAGGACTCTTAAGGAGTAGAGGACCCGCGGACCCAGTCATTGTTAGAGGGAGCAGTTTGGCATCCGGAACTCTAAAACTCTAAATTAAAAACAGGTTCATTCAACAATTATGGGGGCGGGGGTGGGGGAAGTAGGAGGGAGCCTTTGTGGCTAACCGATCCTGGCAATCTCACAGAGATCTATTTCTTCTTAAAATGAAACTTCTGGGGCCAAACTGAGGTTATCTTATAAAAGGAGTGGCCAATTGGTGCCTGCTGCCCAAATTTCAGGCGCTTACGCACCCAGAGCCCCAGTGTAGTGAAACAATGTATATCCAGTGAGTGGGGGTGTCCCATGGGGGTGGAGTGCTGGGGAAGAGCAGTGGGAAGAAAGGGATAGACAAATCTGGCCTGAGTGGCCCCAGGGACCTCTGACCTGAGAGGGAGGCCCCAAAATAAGGGAGAAGTACTGTGCTGGCCTGTATCCATAGCTTCCTGAGGTCCCTGAGACCCTCCCTGGGCTTAACTTCTCAGTTTCCAGAGGAAAGTGCAATATCCCAGCAACCTGTAATTTGTGCTCAGAAACATAGTCTCAATAGCATGCCCGGGACCAAAAATTCCTTAACTGACCCCATGGGTTCAAACGAGCCCTCTCCTCCTCAGGAGAGGTGTTTCTCTGTCTCCAGGTCAGCTTTTCTTCTGTTTTCCTGGAATGTGGCCCAGCCTTTCCCAACTGGAGGGGTTGGGCAGGAAGAACAATGGGAATGGGAATGGGTGGGGTGGGGTCGCAGGTCGCTCAGACCCTTTCCTCCTGTCACCGTGCTCCAAACCTTTCTTTGCTTTCAGGCTCTCTCTCGGTGATGAATTTGTGACCTATGCTGCCACAGAACAAATGGAAAAGCAATTTGGGCCTATAACATAGGCAGCTCATCTCATCTCTCTGACCATCCCCTTTGTCTGTGACGGGGACTGCTTTTCATTCCACTCTGGGGCGCCCAGATGTTGGGATGGGAGCGTGGCTTTCCTTCCCCTTCTCCTGCTCTGCTGTGGAATAGGTCATGGCCCACGCAGAGGACGGTGGGTGGCCCCCCAGTCCAGGGGTCACCCCTCTTTGTTCTTCCTCTTCACACCCCTGCTTGATATTATCCTGTCCCGTGGTTTTAAGTACCTCCTGTCCTTATTTCATCTCCCTTTCTGCCTGTGGAAACACCGGTCTGCAGAGAGCTCTAGTTATGTGCCAAAGCCCAAGAGATGGTAATGGTGGAGCTGAGTAGCCAGGGGAGCGTCTGGGCCAATGGGTCCGTCGCAGGACCTTGTGTGGGGTGGGGATCCTTTGTCTCTCATTCTACTTTGTAAGTTCATCGGCGAGTCCTTGGGCATTGCACTCTCAGTTTCTGCTGAGGAAGGATGTGAAGGAATAGCTCTGTGAAGTTACACCTGTCTGTACCCCACAGGCCCTGCAGAGGTGGTCGTCACTACAACACTTGGTCCCCTTATGAGGGCCCATGGGAGAAAGCTGGGTTCTTAGTTCCAGACAAAGCTTGATTTATTTTTGAGTTTTTGAAAAACTTATTTTGTAACAATTACAGATTCATAGGAAAAATAGTACTGAGAGGTCCTGTGTACCTTTCCCCCAGTCTCTCCCAATGGTTCCATCTTACAAAATTACGGTATAATGCCCAAAGCAGGAAATAGACTTTTCTATAAAGTATATGTAGAGTTTCATGCCATTTCATCAAATATATAGATTCACGGAATCACCACCCCACCACTTCAAGACACAACTGTTCCATCACCACAGAGATCTCCTTTATAGTCATACCCATCCCCTAACACCAATCTGTTCTCCATGGCTACAATTTTGTCATTTGGAGAATNTACCCATCCCCTTTAGACTACC